GTGTGCGCCTGTATCTCAGTGTGTGCGCCTGTATCTCAGTGTGTGCGTCTGTATCTCAGTGTGTGCTTCTGGCTGATGTTCTGTGGGAGTTGGATGCTCCCTGATGCACTGAGACAGTCACATTTTCTTTCTTTTGTTTATGGAAATCTCTCTTGTTGTCAGGAGCATCTCTCTCCCTGGAGATTTATAAACTCTCCAGGACTTCATTAAACTGTGAGTGTACATTCAGGAAAAAGCTGCACCTCTCGTTGGGGAACGGGGTGGCTGTGTTCCACTGAGAGGAAGGAATCCAGGTCCCAGCCAGTACTCTGCAGCCATTCGCTGAACTGATTTGTCAGGGCCTTGTGGTGGGCTGTGCAGCAAAGTGAGGATGGTGGCACAGTGGCAATGTCCTGGTTTAATAATCTAGGGCTCAGGCACACACAGTGTGGACCCAGGTTCAAATCCCAGATCAGTGACATGTGGGATTTAAATTTAGTTAATGAAAGGTCAGTCTCAGTGATGTTAATTGTTGTAAAAAATTCTTCTCTGGTGACTACTGGATGAGGAAGCCGATCAGAAACAATTACCAGTGGCACTGCTGGCTGTTGAGAAAATGCACACAGCTTACTCTTGATGATCAAGGGTTACGGGGAGAAAGCAGGAGAATGGGGTTGAGGAACTTATCAGCCATGATTGAATGGCAGAGCAGACTCGATGGGCCGAATGGTCTAATTTCTGCTCCTATGTCTTATTACTCACCTTGTATCACAGTATTTACTCATGAGTCAACAATCTCTCCTTGAGCACACAGTAGGCTTCCTCAAAAATCTGTGATTAAACTCTCTTCAAAACTCAACCACCACAGTTCCCCAGCATGAGAACCTTTCAGTACTAATGCTCCAATAGTGCAGCGCTCCCTCATTGTTTCTGCCTAATGTATGCTGAAGTGTTTAAGGTGGTCCTGTAACTCCCTGAATCAGTGGCTGTGAGCTCTCTCTCTCCCCCCTCCTCCTCTGTACTCTCTAACGTGGAGGTTACTTTGTGCTGTCAGGGTGAGACTGTTCTTGGGGCAGCACCTGGAGATCTTCAATCTCTCGGTAAGTTTTCTCCAGCTCCAGCTCAGTGTAACGTTTGTGTAGCCGATACATCTGGACAGGGTCCACGACCGGATGGACGGTGAAAGCATTCCGGAACTGTGGAGCCTCCTCCTTTTCCAGCTCGCTATTCTTCCCGAGTTCAAAGTATCGGTAGTGCAGAGTCTGAGGAGAGACACAGGGAAGTATTACAGAGCCTCAGGCTGACATTGTGCATATGCCACTCATTCACAAAGCCACTGGCTCTTCAAACCTCATGCTTATCCCCAAGGTTCACATCTAGAACAAGGGTCTGTAAATGATAGCAGCAGACCCAGAGTGAGGGTTATGTGAGCACCCCTTGCTGAGCTCCAAGAGCAGTTTCATCTCCCCAGCAAAAAAAACACAATCACACTCATCTGCTCAACTCAAATTATCCATCCCATTGAAGATCCCCTCATTGAGAACATGTCCCTCTCGTGACTCCTACACAGGAACAGCAGGAGGCCATTCAGCCCCTTCCTCAGGCCTGTTACACAGGAACAGCAGGAGGCCATTCAGCCCCTCCTCAAGCCTGTTACACAGGAACATGAGGACGTCATTCAGCCCCTTCCTTGGGCCTGTTACACAGGAAATGAGTAGGCCGTTCAGCCCCTCCTCAAGCCTGTTACACAGGAACAGGAGGAGGCCATTCAGCCCGTCTAGACAGCATGTGTAAGGTGCAGTCTTTCGATATTAAACATTTTGTATTTTTGCCTATATAGAGAAAGCATGGTCAGTTATGCTAAACTCCATCAAGCTGTCCCCAGTTCTGGGCCCTGAATTATTGGGAGGATGTTGAGGACAGGGACATCAGTGAATGTGGCCAGAGACACTGGGGTTATTCTCAGACAGGGTTAAGAGGGAGGTTTAATAAATTATTGATTAATAAGTGTAATAAATTATAAAAGGCTTTGAGAAAGAAAATGAGAAGAAGCTGCTTCCTGTGGTATAACTTCTCTGTGACCAGAGAAGAGAGAAAATTAATGAAAGGTCCTGAGGGGGAAATGACGAGACTGTTTTATTTGGCATAGCAAGTTGCTGTGATTTGGAACATTCTGTCTGAAAGGACACTGGAAGCAGATTCAACAGGAACTTTCAAAAGAGAATTGGAGAGAGATTTGAAAAAGAAATATTGACAGGGCTGTGGGAAAGAGCTGGTGGGGCGGTGGTGGGTGGCGTTACTGATAGCCTGGATCTCTCAAAGGGCTGGAACCCTCTCTGATCTGCGGGTCAGTCACTTGGAGCCTCTGCAGGGAGATGTGTCTGCTACAGGACCAGCTGGTTCACACCAAAACCCACTGCCTGCCACCCGAGCACACAGATTCACACCTTCGTGTCTGTGGGGAAGCCAGGATTCCCCACCTGGAAGGCCCCTCAGGTCTGCAATTCACTGGCCTGGCAACTCAAACGGTGCCAGGACTGAATGGAGGGAGACTGTGGAAATGCCGAGATCTGCGCGCAGTTCCAGTAGCCACACAGAATGAGATAGAACTCAAATAGCAAACCAGCCAAGGACCCAGCTAATCAGGATTTGCTTGGACCATTATCCAGAGAACAATCAGTTTCTGAAATACTCACCATAAGCTCCAAGGAACAAGAAGCAGCAAACACAATCAGAAAATCACAGAATGATTACAGTGTGATTTGGCCAATTGTGTCTGTACCAGCTTTCAAAGCATGTTAACTCAGAGCCAAAGTCCTGCATTCCCCTATATCCCGCACATTGTTTCTATCTAAAAAAAAACCCAATGCCCCAGCCGAACCTGCCTCCCCCACATTTCCAGGCACAGCATTTCAGACCCTAACTACTCACTGTGTGAAATAGTTTTTCCTGACATCATCCTCATATCAGTTACACATCACTTTAACCCTATGTCTCTCTCATTCCTGTTCCTTTACAAGTGGGAACAGTTTCTCCCCCTCTGCTCTGCCCAGCTCACTCATCATTCTGAAAACTTCTCTCTGATCTCCTCTCATCCTTCTTCTCTCCAAGGAGAACAGTCCTAGTTTTTACAGGCTATCACCCCTGGAACCATTCCTATAAATCGTGTCTGCACTCTCTCTAATACATTCACATCTTTCATATAATGTGGGGCTCACAACTGTACACAATACTCCAGCTGAGGTCTAACAAGGGTCTCGTACAAGTTCAGCATCACCTCCCTGTTCTTGTGCTCTATGCCCCAGTTAATAAAGCTCTCTCCCCCTATCCTGTCACCTTCAGTGATCTGTGCTCAGACACACCCAGGTCTCAAGTCCAGAATCTTGCGTGCTTCAGTTAAACCATCCTTCACTCTTCTAAACTCTAGTGGAAACAAACCCAGTCTGTTAGCATGCAGGAGGCAATCTGAAAGTTTGAAGATGACACTAAACTTGGACAAATTGTAAACTGTGAGAAGGACAGGACAATGTCCAAAAGGACATAGACATGTTGGTGGAGTGGGCGGATAGGATTCGAAGCAGAGAAGTGTGAATGAGATTTTTTTTGATACAAAGAACATGGAAAGCCAACATTAAATAAAGGGTGATATTGTAAACAGGGTGATATTGTAAACGGTGTGAGGGGTCGGAGGGAGCTGGGTGTGTCTTACAAACAGAAAACTGAAGATGCTGGGAATCTGACACAAATCCAGAGAATGCTGGAGAAACTCAGCAGGTCAAACAGCATCTGGAGAGAGACACGGTATTAACATCTGAGAAATGAAGAGCTTGGTTAGACCCCACCAGGAACACTCTACAGTTTTGATCTCCTTATCTCAGGAAAGAGATTATTGCCATTGAGAGAGTGCAGTGAGGGTTCCCCAGCCTCGTCGGGATTGTGGGACTATGCCACAAAGAGAGACCGGGCAAACTGGCCAGGAAGGATGTTTGGGAGATGGTTCGGGGAGGCTTCCTGGATTGATGGCTGGAATCAGCAAGCTGCTTTATGAGGAAAGGATGTTCACATCCAAATCATTTATATAAATGACAAAAAGCAGTGGAGCCAGCACCGATCCTTGTGGCAGACCGCTGGTCACAGGCCTCCAGTCTGAAAAGCAACCCTCCACCACCACCCTCTGTCTTCTACCTTTGAGCCAGTTCTGTATCTAAATGGCTAGTTCCCCTGGTATTCCATGTGATCTAACCTCGCTAACCAGTCTACCATGCAAAATCTTGCTGAACATTTTGCTGAAGTCCGTATAGACAACGTCTGCCACTCTGCCTTCAATCGTCTTCGTCACTTCGTCAAAAAACTCAGTTTAGTTACTGAGACATGGTTTCCCATGACCAAAGCCATGTTGACCATCCCTAATCAATCCTTGCCTTTCCAGTTTCTCTTATTGGTGATGGTCATAGCCTGGCATTTGTGTGGCGTGAATGTCACTAGCCACTTGTCAGCCTGAGCCTGGATATTGTCCAGATCTTGTTGCATGTGAACGTGGACTGCTTCAGTATCTGAGGAGTCATGAATGGAGCTGAACATTGTGCAATCATCGGCGAACATCCCCACTTCTGACCTTATGATGGAGGGAAGGTCATTGATGAAGCAGCTGAAGATGGTTGGGCCTAGGACACTACCCTGAGGAACTCCTGCAGAGATGTCCTGGAGCTGAGATGATTGACCTCCAACAAACACAACAATCTAGGGGGAGGTGCTGGCCTAGTGGTATGATCGCTGAACTGTTAATCCTGAAACCCCGGTAATGTTCTGGGACCTGAGTTCAGGCCCTGCCATGGCAGATGGTGGAATTTGAATTCAATAGAAATCTATTATTAGGAGTCTAATGATGACCATGAATCTATTGTCAATTATTGTGTAAAACCCATCTGGTTCACTAATGTCCTTCAGGGAAGGAAACAGCCATCCTTACCTGGTTTGGCCTACATGTGACTCCAGACCCACAGCAATGTGGTTGACTCTAAACTGCCCTTTGGGCAATTAGGGACGGACAATAGATATAGGCCTAGCCAGTGATACCCTCTTTCAATGTGTCAGGTATGACTCCACCCAGCGGAGAGTTTGTCCCCTGATACCCATTGATTCCAGTTTTGCTAGGGCTCCTTGATGCCACACTTGGTTAAATGCAGCCTTGATACCAAGGGCTGTCACTCTCACCTCACCTCTGGAATTCAGCTCTGTTGTCCAGGTTTGAACCGAGGCTGTAATGAGGTCAGGAGCTGGGTGGCCCTGGCAGAACCCAACCTGGGCGATACTGAGCAGGTTATTTCTGAGCAGGTGTTGCTTGATAGCGCTGTTACTGACACCTTCCATCACTTTACGGATGATCGAGAGGAGACTGATGGGGTGGTAATTGGCCGGGTTGAATTTGTCCTGCTTTTTGTGTACAGGACATACCTGGGCAATTTTCCACATTGTCGGGTAGATACCAGTGTTGTAACTGTACTGGAACAGCTTGGCCAGGGGAGCGGCAAGGTCTGGAGCACAAGTCTTCAGTACTATTGCTGGAATGTTGTCAGGGCCCGTAGCCTTTGCAGTATCCAGTGCCTGGGCTGGATAGCTGAATGTTGAAATTGGATTCTTTCCATTACACACTTGTAGATTAAGTACATCCGTGACAGGGGCCAATCAGAGCAGTGGGAAAATATAAAGCATTTTGGATTCCCTTGCTAGCTCCCTCCACAACTAATACCTCACCATAAATGGAGGGAATTAAAATGACATCCCACCCTGCTGCTGTAAAAGAAATAACATAATGACAAACTACGTGCTGAGGGCATGGGAAAGACCTTCTGCCAACTTGTTTAGTTGTGCTATTTTAATCAATCTTTGTCTCAACCCTAACACACCTTACTTTCTAATATGAACACGTGAAATTATATCAACTCTGTCTGATCCTGTCGATGCAATTTTGAAAATCTATGCCAGCACTATAATTACATGAAACAAATTTTTCTTGTTTTCTTTTGCTCTCTGAAAATTTAAAACAAATGGAAAATTTTGAACATTTAGTGAAATTCCTGCATCAATCTGTAATCGGTGAGTACTTTTTTAAATTCCTAAAATAAAATTTATGGGAGGAAAAAACTCAGCAGGTCTGGCAGTGTCTGTGCACAGAGAGAGGGACTGAGAGAGAGAGATGGACTGAGACAGAGAGAGAGAGTGTGAGAGAGTGAGTGAGAGAGAGAGTGTGAGAGAGTATGAGTGAGAGTGAGAGAGTGTGAGAGAGTGAGACAGAGTGTGAGATTGAGAGTGAGAGAGTGTGTGTGAGAACGAGAGTGAGAGTGTGTGAGAATGAGAGAGACAAGTTGAGAGAGAAAGTGAGAGAGAGAGAGAGACAGTGAGAGAGAGTAAGATAGAGAGTGAGAGAGTGAGAGAGAGTGTGTGAGAATGAGAGACAGGTTGAGAGTGAGAGAGAGACAGTGAGAGAGAGTGAAATAGAGAAAGAGTGAGAGAGTGTAAGAGAGAGATTGGGAGAGAGAGAGTGAGAAAAAGAGTCATACTGGACTCGAGGTCTAGGTGTTTATGCGCACAGATCAATGAGTTCCACAGAGTCACCACCCTCTGACTAAAGAAATTCCACCTTATCTCAGTTCAAAAAGGTTGACTCTTCACTCCGAGGCTGTGCCCTTGGGTCCTGGTCTCTCCTACCTGCGGAAACATCTTCTCCGTGCCCACTCTGTCCAGGCATCTCAGTATTGCTATTATTATTCTGGTATGAACCGTATGCCCCCTTTTTCCTCCTGTATTTCTCATCATCCGGGGTACGCTAGCTGAAGATACCCTGTCTTTACTTCTGATGCTGAGGACACACAGCTTTCAGAATGATCAACATGTAGATCATCTCAATGGGATTGGGGAGAAATCCCAAATTCCCAACTACCAACAGATTTAAGAACAGCTTCTTCCCTGCTGTTATCAGATTTATGAACGGGCCTCTGGTCTCCACCTACTTCAGGAAGACCACTGTCATCCTGGTGCCAAAGAAACATCAGGCAACGTGCCTCAATGACCACCACCCAGTGGCTCGGGCCTTCAGCAGAATGAAGTGTTACCGACGCAACAGGTCCACAGCTAACACCAATTCCCTGGTCCTACACTCATCCCTGGAACATCTGGATAACAAGGATGCCTACATCAGGCTCCTACTTATTAACTGCAGCTCTGCCTTCATCCATAATTCCAAACAATTTCATCTCCAAACTCTGAGACCTAGGCTCCCCCTCTGTAACTGGATCCTCGACTTGCTGACCCAGAGACCACAATCAGTGAGGATAGGCAACAACACCTCCCCCACAATAATCCTCAACGCTGGTGCCCTACAAAGCTGTATACTCCGCCCCTTACGATACTCCTTATACACGCACCACTGTGGGGCCAAATTCTGCTCTAACTCCATTTACAAGTTTGCTGATGACACCACCGTAGTGGGTCAGATCTGAAACAATGACGAGACAGAATACAGGAAAGAGATAGAGTGTTTAGCAGCATGTTGTAAAGACATCAATCTCGCCCTCAGTGTCAGCGAAATGAAGGAGCTGGTCATTGACTTTCGGAAGCAGAGTGGAGGACATGCCCCTGTCTGTATCAGTGGTGCTGAGGGGGAGGTGGTGGAGAGCGTCAGGTTCCTGGCAGTAAATATCACCAACAATCTGTCCTGGTCCATCCACATCAACACGATGGTCAGGAAAGCACTGCAACGCCTCTACTTCCTCAGGGGGCTAAGGCTGTTCAGCATGTCCACAATGACTCTCAGTAATTTTTATAGATGCACCACAGAGAGCATCCTATCTGGATGTATCACAGTTTGGAATGGTAACTGCTCTGCCCAAGACCAAAAGAAACTAGAAAGAGTCATGAAAACCAGCCTTCTATCCACTGATTGTGCCTACACTTCCCACTGCCTCAGGAAAGTCAACATAATCAAAGACCCCTCTTACCCTGGTTATACTCTCTTCCACCTTCTTCCGTCAGGCAGGAGATACAAAAGTTTGAAAACATGTACCAATGGATTCAAAAACAGCCTCTTCCCTGCTCTTATCAGACTTTTCACCAGACCTCTCAAATGTTAATCCTGATCTCTCTCTCTGCACCTTCTCTGCGTCTGGAACACTGTATTCTGCACTCTGTTCTGCTATCATAATGCACTTTGTGTGGTACAATCTGCCTGTACAGCACGTAAAACAACACTTTTCACTGTATACCGGTACATGTGGCAACAATAAATCAATCAAACATGTATTAGAGTTGATCTTTCTCTGTACCTTCTCTGCACGGTAATACTATATTCAGCACTCTCTTCTATTACCCTGATGTTCTTATGTAAGGAATGCTTTGTCTGATTAGCACACATAACAATACTTTTCACTGTATCTCGGTACATGTGACAATAAATCGGTAGGTGTTTAATTCAGTAGTGACTGCACCCACCTCATACTCACTGACACAACTGACTGACACATAATCAATGATGCATCGACCCAGCCACTCGTCAGGCCTGGAGCTGAGGATGTCATTCCGACAGGTTTCCAAATGCGGTTGCAATTTGATGAGGAGACTGCGGGACAGCAGGAACCCAAATCCACCGTGACAATACCGACCATCTACATCACCACCAATAAACTCCTGGGGACGGCCCATGTACAGGTCAGTGTTGATGCTGAGGTGGTTCACTAGACGTTTGATGCGATCACTCTCAGTGTAGGAATCATCCTGGATGAGGAAGAACCAGTCGTACTCACTGCTGAAATGCTCAAAGATATACTTTACTGTCTGGTACATGTTCCAGATCGGCCGCTCGTCACCGTGGGTTACAATGTACATTCCGTGCGGAATCTTCCGGCTCCTGGAGCCGGTGAAGTATAGGACCTTGTCAATGTGGTGACCAATTGTGCGGTTCACAGCGACAGCCAGAGTGTTGAGAGTAGTTTTTGATGTGAGAACTCCGACAAACAAACGCTCCCGAATACCCAGCTCAGTGCTGATGTAACGCGATCTAAAATAAAACAAACAGGAATTCAAGCAACAACAACCTCAATTCATATAGCACCTGGAATGAAAGTCCAAGAAGCTTTACAGTTAAATACAGGAGCAGGAATAGGCCATTCAGCCCTTCGTTATTCAATATGATCATGGGTAATCATCCACCTCAGTCCCCTGTTCCCACTTCTCCCCACATCCTTTGATACCTTTAGCCCGAAGAACTATATCCAACTCCTTTTTGAAAACATTCAATGTTTTGGCCTCAACCACTTTCTGTGGCAGAGAATTCCACAGGCTCTCTGGGTGAAGACATTTCTCCTCATCTCAGTCCTAACTGGCTGCCCTCGAATCCTTAGACTATGACCCCTGGTTCCGGACTCCCCCGCCATCAGGAACATCCTTCCTGTGTTTACTCTGTCTAGTCCTGTTAGAATTTTACAGGTGTCTATGAGATGCCCCCTCACTCGTCCAAACTTCAGTAAATACAATCCTAACCAACTCAGTCTCTCCTCATACATCAATCCGACCATCCCAGGAATCAATTTGGCAAACCTTTGCTGCGCTCCCTTGACAGTAAGAACATCCTTCCTCAGATAGGGAGACCAAAACCGCACACAATATTCCAGGTGTGTTCTCACAAGGCCCTGTATAATTGCAGCAAGAGACTCCTACTCCTGTACTTCAATCCTCTCACTGTGAAGGCTAACGTATAGTTTATTTTCTTCACCACCTGCTGCATTAGAACATTATAAAACAGAATCTGACACTGCGACTCATACAGAGATATTAGTGCAGGTGACGTAAAGCTTTCTCAGAGAGACAGAGTTTAGGATGTGATGTCAATCAGGAAATAGATGGAGAGATGGAGATGGTGAGAGATGGAGAGCAGTGTGGCCAATCCAGCTGAAGGTACAGCCGCTAGGGGAATTGGGGAATAGACAGGAAGAGAGAGGACAGCAGAGATCTCCCTGGTTGTGAAGCAAGGGGAGGTGTTAGAGATTGGGAGGGATTCCATTACAAAGGCAGGGAATTTAGAATCAAACCATTCCTTCACTGGTACTGACTGTGAGCCAGCATGCACCAGAGCGATGGGGAAATGAGACTTGCTGCAAATTAACAGGCAGGTGCCAGAGATTTGGATAATTTGGATTACAGCGAGTAACTCTGAATCAAGCCAGGAACTGCATTGGGATGGTCTCAAGGTAATGAAGGCAGTGATGAGGGTTGGCATGGTGGCTCAGTGGTTAGCACTGCTGCCTCACAGCACCAGGGACCCGGGTTCAATTCCACCGTCTGTGTGGAGTTTTCACATTCTCCCCGTGTCTGCGTGGGTTTCCTCCGGGTGCTCTGGTTTCCTCCCACAGTCCAAAGGTGTGCAGGTTAGGGTGGATTGGCCATGCTAAATTGCCCGTAGTGTTCAGGGAGGTGTAGATTACGTGGGCTGGCCATGGGAAAAGTGGGGTTATGGGGATAGAGTTGGGGGACTGGGTCTGGGTCAGGTAAGGATAAACTTTGGAGGTTTGGAGCAGACGTGATGGGCTGAATGGCCTCCTTCTGCAGTGTAGAGATTCTATGTAGGATCCAGCAGCTGAACAATGTTACGCAGGTGGGAATGGGTGGCCTCAGTGCTGGGTGTGTCTGAGTTCAGAGGCAGTGAGGTGTGAATAGACTGACTTAACTTGAGATTCCCTCAGAGGGAGAGGGACAGATTGGAGGCTGGGTAAGACAGTGTGGAATAAACACAGAAAATGCTGGAGAAACTCAGCAGTTCAGGCAGTATCGGTACACAGAGAGAGTTTCTCCCCATCAAACACTCCCAGGATAGAACGGGGTTAGATACAGAATAAATCTCCATCTTCACTGCCCCTCAAACAGTCTCAGAGAATTGGCTGAGGGGGGAAGGTGTTGTGGATGCACATATATTGGTAAAGGGAGATCTAATGATTTGATATAAACTAGTGGTGTGTGTTGATTCAGGATGTGAACAGGAATTACTTATTGAAGCCTGGCATTATGCCCTGGCAGCAGGGGGATAGAAACATTGGCAGCTGCAACAACCCTGATAACATCAGCAACAACTAATTATGTCCCATCATGCTCATGGCCAACCATTGCCTGAATCCAACCTCAGAGAAATATGTCCAAAACCATCAGGCAAACCCTCCTGGAACACCAGGATAATGGACAGGCAGGGCAGAGAGGGTACAGAGAACAGGCAGTCGCATCTGTGGTAAAGAGGCATTGACTGTAAGGTTTATATGTGTGCCAAGGGCAACGGTATCGCTGTGTAACAGGCTGGGAGGAGTGTGCAGTGAGTCAGTATAGCTGTGTAACAGACTGGGAGGAGTGTGCAGTGGGTCAGTATCACTGTGTAACAGGCTGGGAGGAGTGTGCAGTGGATCAGTATCACTGTGCAACAGGCTGGGAGGAGTGAGCAGTGGATCAGTATAGCTGTGTAACAGACTGGGAGGAGTGTGCAGTGGGTCAGTATTACTGTGTAATAGGCTGGGAGGAGTGTGCAGTGAGTCAGTATCACTGTGTAACAGGCT